TTTTTATTATATTCTTTATAGTTAAATGAACATTACTGAGATACTATTTATATTATAGAAATCAATATTATAAGACTTTATAAATCCATTATCAAAATCCAAGGATTCAACAATAAAAGTAGTATACAATTATTTCCTTATTATAATAAACAGATTAACAAAGTATCTAATACTTGTATTATATCAAATAATATTAATTACAAAAATACTAATCTTTATATTTTTGAAAGAGATTGTAATAATATATAGATTATCAAAAAAAATATTTTTTAATAGAAATAAGCTTTTTATATCGAAATTTTGGATTATTTTAATAGTATTATTAAAAGTAAAGAGAAAAATATCTATTATATTTTATTTATAAATCAATAAAGGAAACAAGAAAATAAATCAAATTATCGAAATTTACTTTCGATATTATATAAATTATCAATAGAACAATTGAATAAAACTTTTATTTTTAATATAATTTATATATAACAATTCAATATCAGAAACGATACAAATTACTCTAAATTATATCAATTATAAATACAAACTGATTGTATATTATAAATCAAGGATCATAAAAATAAAAAATCAATCTATAATAATATAAATAGAAAGATTCAAAAAAGTTTATAAAAAAATGATAATAGAATTGAAATTCGTTGTTAAAAGAAATATATATTATTACAATTGGAAATATAATCAGAAATCAATATTAAAAGAAAAAAATAAAGTTTATTTACTTCGAAAAAACATCGAAACAAAAAGATCTAATACAAAATTAGATTATAAGAAATTCGAATTATTCAAAATCAAAAAAGTTAAAGGATTCTTGAATTATAAATTAATATTATTAAAAAGTATAAATATATATTCAATATTCTATATATCTTTATTCAAATTAATACCTCTAAAAGTATCTAAAATTCCTAAAACAGAAATTATATTTATAGATCAAAATATCGAATACAAAATAAAAAAGATATTAAATTGTAAATATATTAAAAGTAAAATCAAATACTTAATAAAATAAAAAGATTATTCCAACTCCGAAAATATATAAGAATTTGAAAAAGAAATTAAATATTTAAAGAAATATTAAAAGTTTCATCAACAGAATCCGGATTTATTTAAAAGAAAAAAGAATTTATTATTTCTTGCAAAAAAGAATCGAAAGAATCGAATTCATTTATAAGAATTTTATTGAGATTAATAAAGTCAATTGATAATTAATCAAATTGACCAAATTAATCAAATTGATCAAATTGATCAAAAGAATCAGAATTAACAATAAATATTGAAAATATAACAATTTCCTTTTTTTCTTTTCTCTCCTTTTTTTCTAAAACATCTAATTCATCAAAATATTTGAAATCTCGTTCAATCATCTTTTTATAATAATCCTACAAATAATCTTATTATTTTCGAAAACAAAGAATTTTAGTTATAATTTCTTCTTTTTCTTTATAAAGTTTTTCCTTTTGTTTATCTAAAAATTCCTAATCATTTATTCAAAGAATTTTCTTATCTTAATTATCTTTTAAATATTACTTTATATTACAAAGAGTACAAGATTATATATATTCGAAACAACAAATCTTTTACGAATTATTCAAAATTTTTATACAATAAAGATTTTCTATACAATAATAAATATATAAAATCATCTCGATATTAGAATTCTCGATTTCAATTATAAAACAAAACTTCTCTTTATTTTTTCAACGAATTTTGTTAAATTGTAAATCATTCATAATAAGGAAAAAGATTAAGATATAAAACAACAAAAAATTAATAGATTATATATTAATTATAAACAATCAAGAACAATACTTAATTAAAAAAAGAATAATATCATAAAATCATTTTATAAAATATCATAAGATAACAATCAATCTATCTTTATAAACTTTAACCTTATTAAAAAGCAAAACAACTTATATATAAATTTATATAATAACTACTTTATATAATCTCCCCACCTTCAACAAACTCAAATATATAATTTAATCCTAATCATATAATAAAGTCTTTAGAAATATAAACTTCTATAAACTCCTTAAAACCCTCAGAAATATAGACTTTTGAAAACTTCCAAAATAGATTAATATATAATCAGAATAATTTTATAATTTAAAAGCTTCATACTCAATTTAGTTATCAATTAGTTTATCTACATTCTAATTAATCTAATAATATATTCACCTTCGAATAGATAATCAGTAATTATTAACCTTAACCTACAACTACCAACCATACGAAAACCTGAGGCAGCCGCTGCCTCGACCAGATCGTTACACCCTGACCCCTGGCTTTTCGAGAAAGTTTAATGAAAATTTAAGATTTAAAAATAATAATTATAATAATAAGTTATATAAGATGAATTGAATGAATAAAATTAAATTGAATAAATAAAGTTGAATTGAATGATTTCAAAGTTGAATGATTTTATTTGAATTGTGAATTGAGTTGAGTGATTTCAATTAAATGATTTTAATAGAGTTAAGAAAAGTTCTAAATCAGATTTGTTTAAGATTATAAGGCTTATATCAAGCTTTTTACTAGATTATTTACCGGGGTATTTTAGACCAATTAGATTACCAGGATCGCGATTCACTTAAATAAGTTTCTTATTTTTTATCATCTATTAAATAAACTTTATATATAATAAGATTATAATATTAACAAATTAATAATTATTTAACTTTATTAAAATCATTCAACTTTTAATTTATAATAATAATAATAATAATAATAATAATAATAATAATAATTAAAATAATAATTAAATAATAATTAAATAATAATTAAAATAATATTTATAATAATAATATTTATAATAGTAGTATTTACTAGAGCCTGTGCCCCCCCGGACCCCTGGCTTTTCGAGATAATCTAATGAAAATTTAAGATTTAAAAAGTTTATAATAAATTAAATATTAAATATATATCAGGGTACAAACTATTATAATTCACGGATTAGATTATAATAATATTATTGATATTAGTGATTCATATACCGACTACAAGAGGGGTGTGATTTAACCATTGCTTTCAAGGGGCCTAATCACCTAAGTCTAGAACCCCAAGATTCCTAGGATAAATATCCTAAGCAATTATATTAGAATAGAACAAATATCCTAACTAATTGATTGTAATGAAACAATCACCCTAAAGGATATCGTATCTTAAAACTATAGTTCCTGAAGAAAAGCTTTTGGGATAAGTATTCCAGGAAAAGAAAGGCCTCAAGATCAATCACATGATGAGAAACTTTAGAAGCTTAAAAAGCTCCTAGAACTCCAAAAGCTTTTTGGAGCTCTAGGATTCCACAAAGCTCTTTTCTATTCATTAATATACAATTAGAATAGTTTTATAGTTTAGAAGCTTCGTACTCAACTTAGTTATTAATTAGTTTACCTATATTCCAATTGATCTAATAACGAATTCACTTTCAAATAGATAACCAATGATTAATAACCTTAATCTATAACTATCAATTATACGAAACCTCAGACAGCCGCTGCCTCGACCAGATCGCTACACTAACAGAATATCAACTTGTTTTTAATAATTGAAAATTAAATTATTTAATTTAAAAATAATAATTATAATATAATTTAATACTATTATTTATGATATTTAAAATAATAATAATAATATTTTATATTATTTATATTATTTTAATATTATTTATAATAATAACAATATTTTATATTATTTATTATTATTATTATTATTATTATTATTATTATTATTATTATTATTATTATTATTATTATTATTATTATTATTATTATTATTATTATTATTATTATTATTATTATTATTATTATTATTATTATTATTATTATTATTATTATTATTATTATTATTATTTTAAATTGAATAAGATAAATTGAATTGAATAAATTGAATGATTTCAATTGAGTTGAATGATTTCAATTGAGTTGAAAAAAGCTTCAAGTCAGATTTATATCAAGTTTTTTATTAGATTATTTAACGGGTTATTTACTGGGCTATTTACCGGGGTATTTTAGACCAATTAGATTGTCAAGATTGTGATTTATTTAAATAAGTTTTTTATTTTTTATTATTCATTAAATAAATCTTATATATAATAAAATTATAATATTAGTAAATCAACAATAATTTTATGATTTTAATATTTTAATAATATAATTATTAAAAAATCTTTAAGTTAATAACAATTTAAATTATATTTTTATAAATTATTATAATTATTTTTAATATTAAAAATTATTTTCATTAATACAAGTAATCTTGTAATATAAAATAAAATTAAATATTTATTTGATTTAAGGAGTTCTGATAGCCTCATTGATTAATAACAGTTTCGTTAGAGAATATATTTTAAAACTTTTATTGGGAAAGTAAAGTCTATAATAGTTTGATTCCATCTATTGTAATGAATATTTTAAATATTATAATTGTTATTAATATAATGATTTTTTTTAAGTGTAGCCTTAATCCTAACTAGAAATAGAAATAGAAAGATCTTGATAGTAGTTTGATTAATAGTTTAATAGGTAGTTATAAGTTATTTTTAGCTAGCTAGCTAGATAGGGTATTAAAGGCGAGGCTGAAACCTGAAGGCTGAAGATTGAAGATTGTAGTAGACCCCGCAAATAATAGTTTCTGCCACATCATAATCTACTAGCTATGTAGGTAGTCGTACTTGTATTTTCTAGGGTGGATATTCATTTGGATTTTAAAAGTCTTGGATTGGATGGGCCGATTACTAATTATTTATTGTAACTTATATAGATATTGGCACAGCCTTGAGCTGTTGTACAGCTAAGGTTACTACAGTGTACTTCATAGGTACGGCCAGTACAGCAAAGAAATTCGCTAGTATGATGTACGACTAAACTGTAGCCTGGCGCTAATTCATTCACGCCACTAACATGGTCCGTGTGCAAGCGATGAGGTTGTAAGTAACTAACTTATTCTACCCAAGACTCTTTTATTCTTTCTATCAAGGAACAAAACCCAAAAACTCCCATTACAACATTTTCAATATACTCCTCACCTTTTTCTAAACCTTTATTGAAAACTTCAATATCGTATTTGATACCCCTCCTATTACTTTAACATAACAACCTCTTCGACGTCTCACGGCATACCCATCTCAATCGTCATCACAGTCGCATTTTTATATTCGTCAATATGAAGTTGACTTTCAAGGTATATTGTCACTTGTTTCCCGGCTCATCAAGGATTCAACCACTTCATATGCTAATTACTGGTGTTCTCATTCAGGACTTGAAGCAGGCGAAATTCGTCATCGAGGCTGAACCTACCGAGCTTGTATGTACCTGATTTGTTCGAACCTCGATAACTTTCCATCCTATCACTATCGCTGCGTCATACCTGGTCGAATGACAGCTAACGCACACAACACAGATTTCTCAGGTTAAGGACAAGATCTCAAAGGAGAAGGGATGGGAAGCTTCGCAACAAAAGTTGATCTATTCTGGTATGCTTTGGATTTGGGCGCAGATGTTCATGGCTGTTAGAGGTTATTGGCGCACGTCTTACTAACAGCATGTTTAGGTAAAATTCTACAAGATGCAAACACTGTAGAGTCTTATCACATCGAGGAAAAGGGATTCATCGTCTGTATGGTTTCAAAGGTAAATATTCGTACTGGCTCAATAGTATCCTCCTCGTTTTCCTAATACTTTATATAGCCCAAGGCTGCTCCAGCTGCATCCTCTTCTGCGACTAAAGCTCCATCAACTCCTGCTCCAGCTACAGCTGCTACCCCCGCTCCACCTGCCGCACCCGCACATTCTTCGAGTACTGCAAACACAGCTGTTCCGGCTACACCTTCTCCGGCTGGTACCTCGGTTCCATCTGTTCAAGCCACACCATCAAATGAAACTACCGGTCTTGCTATGGGAGCTGAGCGCTCAGCACAAATTGCCGAAATGGAGGCTATGGGTTTCGAGAGATCACAAATCGATTTAGCTATGCGTGCCGCTTTCTTCAATTCGGAGCGTGCTATCGAATACTTGTTGACTGTAGGTTAAGATTAGCTATAGAGGTTCTGGCAATCACTAATCATAACATAGGGTATCCCAGAAAACCTTCTTCAAGAACAGCGACAAGCTGCACCAGCTGCACCCGCCGCAGGTCAAGCTTCATCCCAACCTGCTGCGGGTGGTGAGGATGAACCAGTCGATCTTTTTGCTGCTGCAGCAAATGCTGGGAATCGTGGTGGCGCCGCTCGTGCACGAGCTGGAGCTGATAATGCGGCCGCTCCAGGAGCTGGAGCGGGAGGACTTGGTAACCTCGATTTTCTCCGAAATAACCCCCAGTTTCAACAACTCCGACAAGTCGTTCAACAACAACCTCAGATGCTCGAGCCAATTCTCCAACAAGTCGGAGCTGGTAACCCACAATTGGCCACTCTGATCAGCCAACACCCAGAGCAATTCTTACAACTTTTGAGTGAGAATGCCGATGACGATGCGCCACTTCCACCTGGAGCCCAAGCTATTGAGGTTTCAGGGGAGGAGCGTGATGCTATTGAAAGAGTAAGATATCTGTCATTTTATGTATCCTTCCCTCACTAACTTTCTGTAGTTATGTCGTCTTGGTTTCAACAGAGATCAAGCAATTCAAGCTTATTTCGCATGCGACAAGAATGAGGAATTGGCGGCAAATTTCCTTTTTGAGCAACCGGAGGATGAGGAATAAATTTTCCTAGTTTCCATGGTTTTGATATCTCCGAATTCACTTTTTTTTTCTGTTTTATTCCCTTTTCATTGAGCAAATGAATAACGAATGAACTTCGCAATTTTCGTGTGGTAATGCGGGAGAAATGGAGGGAGCTAAGGGGTGGCAGAGGAAGTGTGAAGTAGGAGGCAGGGAGACTTTTTATAAAGGTCGGAAGGGAATCAATTGTAACAAATGGAGTACCTACGTTGCATAATTTTTCCATTAGCATAGTAAAATGTAACCTGGTTTATCAAATGGAGCTCTACTCTGTCTTATACAGAGGAACGGCGAAATGATGAATGAATGAATGAATAAGATTTTAATATTTACATGCATACAAGTAAAGCGGTTTGTGCATGTGCATTAGCATGAGCATATGCGTGTGCGTGTACGTGCTCTGAAAACCATATCTACAGCCTCGATTCCAGAACCTTCACGATTATTGCTTTGACTATATATCTTAGTCCTGTAGTCTTATAGTCCTGTAGGAGAGTGACTGTTCATAGTAGTTGGTCGATTACAGGTTGATTGATTGGTTAGTAGGTTTGTAAAGCTATTGAAGGTTTGTAAGGCTATTGAAGGTGTGAAAGTGTGAAGAGCTGGGAAGGGGTAAGAGATTTTTAAGAAGGGAGGAAGGGGCAATGGGTGGAAGCGGGAGGGGGAAGGGGGTGGATAGAACTGGAATTGGAGATGGAGGGGAAAAGGATGGAAAGGGGGGAAGGGGGTGGAATTGACATCTGATGGATCTGAGGGGATATTTTTGGGAAGTGTGAAGGAGTTTGGATTCATGTATGTAATCTATAATCTGTAATTTTAAAGCATGGGATGAAACTCTGCTGAAATATGCAGACGAAATGCCTAGGTCCTTGAAGCATAAGATGGTGTATATTGTACTCTTAATGTTTTTATATAGGTAACTACTTGACTTGTATAATACTTCTTCTCCAAGCGCCTCCTGCTGATCCTACCGTTTGATGTGATGTTAGTGTAGTAGGTACGGAGTACATTTGTACGGTAACCTATGTGGGTCCACCAATCATATCACTTGAAAAAGTTCCAATATGTTTTAACGATGATCCATGCTTTTTTGCAGATGGGTGGATGGTGCTGCAACAATAATAATAATAATAAGACGTCGATTTCATGTATTGTTGTTCATTGTTCATGTTGTTCATTCTCTTCATGATATTGCTACCATATTATGTTAAATAAATCATCTCGACTCGTATTCACATTTCATTCTTTCTTCCTGTCAACGAAATAACTCATTCATATACCTACCTACCTATCAAAAGTTAAATTCTTCTTCCCCTTCACAAGGCTTCATACTCCAAAGACCGAAAACACACTAGTGATTAATCCCAGACCGTCGTAACCTTTACTCCGACTTTTTCAAGCTCCATCCATCCATCATATTATTTCACAAATTCACTTATTTATTTCAAGAATCAAGGACATGAAGCCTCCTACATATTCTACACGCTCGAAGCGTAAATCCGATGAAGTAGAACCTAGTTCACCCACTTCTAAAAAATCACGAACATCACTTGATCTCCCACCTTCTTCTCCATTATCATCACCTTCTTCCACATCAGCTGACGCCCTCTTGGCTCAAAGTCCAATGGACCCTGAAAATCTTGATCTCGACTCTAATTTAACCTTTCGAGGAGGTTTTCGTGGTAGAGCTCGTGGACGCGGTAGAATTCGTGGAACGGGAAGAGTCGGACGAAATGGTAATGCGAAAATTCCCATGACGAAGATGGGTGGTGTGGATATCAATGCCAGTGTGGCGGGTGGGAAATCATCTCGTGGAAGAGGTGGTCATCGGGTGAAAAAATCAAGTAATGCGAGGATACAGAGTTTGTATCATCGGAAACAATTGCTGAAAACTCAGTACAAACAGGTGGCTTTGTTGCAGAGGGTCGCTCTGGATGTCATTTCAGATAAGTCGTTGCAGGTTATCAGTGAGGATCCAAAGTATCATGAGACGTTGCCTGAATTTCAGATTGTGACAGATCAATTGGCTGCGAAATATGCTGAGAGAGTTGCGTTGTTGGAGGCTCAACGTATGGTTCAATTGGAGTATGCGGAGAAGCAGAGGTTTCTTGGTGAGGAATATACTAGGGGCGTATATGAGGTATGCTATTCATTTTATTTTTATAAACATTGCTAACACGTGTGTAGACTCAAGTAGAATTGATTAAGGAGAAGTATGATTTAATGATCAAGAGAAGATTGATTGAAGAGCACCAGCAAATGGAAATGCGATCTGGTGCTGATAGTCCATCTCAGCATAATGTAAGTGAAGAAGATTTTGATTACCAATTTTTACTGATCTTACTAGTTTGATCATTCACATATCAAGAGAATCCCTGAAGAGATTTTCATCCACCCTGCTGATGCGTGGGCCAATGGTGGCCGTGCTGCACAACTTGCTGCTGATGCTGAGAAGGCCCAAGGCAAAAAACGAGGCGGTCGTGGAAAGAAGTCTACCAAGATGCCTGCATCACCATTTAAACCTCTAGATATTATGACGCCGGATGATACAGAAGTCGCACCCAAGAAGACATCCTTGTATCAACCTGCTACCTCATTATCTCTCGCCAATACCGTGGATGGAGATTCTGCAGCTCCCACCCCAGCCGAATTGACCGAACAAGAAGATGCCGATGAGTTAGAGACCGATAAATTCGGAGTTTACATACCTAATAAAGCAAGACCCAGAAATGGCGATCCGCCAAATAATCGTATAGTGGTCGAGCCTCCATTTACATTTGATGAGGATGAGATAGGTATTCGTCATCACCATTACAAAAAGTACAACAAGAATGATCTTCCTACTTTCATTGGGATGGACCCTTCTCCACAACCGAAGAATTTTCATTATGATCCTTGGGTGAGAAATCATCATTCTACGAATAATCGACCGGAAGACTTGGATCAAACGATTGTTGAAACTCATAAGTTACATCCTACTTTAGGTTTGCCTGTGAAAGGTTCAATGAATCCTACACTTACTGTAAGAAGTGATTGGAGTAAACCTGTAGCAGAGACCAAACCTGTTCTTTTTGTTGTTGAAACTCAAGATGAAGAATCACTGAAACCAAGATTTGAGACTTCTCGTTCAGCATGGATGGCACGCACAGAAAGGGAATTTGCGGATCTTATTGATCAACTCAAGATGGCTGAATCATTGGAGGCAATTGGACTTCGTGACCCTATCCTTCGACCAATCGAAAAGAAGGTTGAACCTCAAATCATTGGTAAGATTAGTGATTCTTTGATGCAAGCTGTGACAGAGGCATCAAATCTTTTATCCAAGCCACTTCCATCAGCACCCTCATTAAGAGTGACTTCAGTACCTGGAACGCCTGCACCTGCACAAAGAACTCAAGGCTACGATCCAGTCCGAGATACTGGATACTCTCCTCACTTACGTCGATCTCCAGTCAAAACTTTCAACCAAGTCGGAAACCTAGGTGTCCTCGCGGATGCAGCCGAATTACGTGGGGCACCACAACACCGCGGAGGGCTTCCTCATCCAATTATCCCAGCGCCAAGACCAATGCAACAAATGTACACCTTTTCTCAGCCAGAATTCTATAGGCCAGGTCCTTCATTTGTACCTCCACCCCCACATATGAATCTCCCACCACCTATACCCATGACTCTTCCGCCCCCTCAACCGCAACAGCAGCAAACGCAATTCTTTCAATATGCTGGTCCACCGCAAGCTCAAGGTGGTCCTCATAACAAGTACAAGGAGATTCTCCCTGCCCCGCCACAAAGGCGCGTACAACCGACTTCATTGGCTGTACCCCGGAATAATGGATTTAATCCATTTGTAAATGGAACAGCATATGGAAATGGTACGGGAAGGGGTCCTTAAGCTGATTAATTGGCAAACATGAGACACATACATATAGACAAGTGTAGTAGGGAATCTTGTATTGAAGGAGGCATGGGGAACATGAAACTTCGAGGACTGCACTTTCGTCGCGCATTTTTACTACAGTAGCCCATATTCCATACGTGAAGGTTCGATACGAGGACTCTTTCATGTAGAGTATTTCTTTACCCTCAACCTCCTTTCCTCGCATTCGTCTCTTTTCTTTATTTTGTACCAACAAACTATTTCTTCATTTTGTCATTTTTTCCATTCTTCAATCAACTAGGCAGGCGTACGATTTGTGTAGGTGGGGAAAGGAAGTTCTACGATTGAACGTATGTGTCTATTTGTTTCCCGAACAAATAGACAGACAAATTGGAATTAGGGATGGAATTGGGATCGGAATTGGGAGTGAAATTGGAATGGTGGGCGCAATGCAGTTTTAAAAGTTTTGCTCTATCTTTTTTCGGAGGAAGTGGCAGGAGTTTTATTTCGGTGGGTGGTGATGGTTTAGGATGGAGGAAGGGAAGAGAAGGGATGGGTAGGAGGATAGGAGGATAGAAGGAAAAAATACTCCTGGTCTGGTGTTTCTATTAGAGGAATGAAGGAATAGAAATGGAATTTATGTTTTTGAATAGTCTGAAGTTTGACTTTATAATTGTATTCGTTTTTGTTTTTCTCGAGAATATATATAGATCGATGTTGTTTATCTTTGACTTTTTATATATATAATTTTCAGAAAATTTTTATTTAGAAATTATAACTTTATATTTATTTTTATATATAATTAAATTTATCTCTTTGAAAGATTTGAAAAATCAAACCTGAATTTAAATTATTATAAATACTTTTAAAATATAAATTAAAAACTTATAATTATTACCAGTGGCCTGCGCCCCCCGGATCTCTGGCTTTTCGAAAAAGTATAATGAAATTTTAAGTTTTAAAAAGTTTGTAATAAATTTAAATATTGAATATATATATTAGAGTACAGGTAGAATATCGACTTGTTTTTGATAATTGAATATTATTATTATTATTATTATTATTATTATTATTATTATTATTATTATTATTATTATTATTATTATTATTATTATTATTATTATTATTATTATTATTATTATTATTATTATTATTATTATTATTATTATTATTATTATTATTATTATTATTATTATTATTATTATTATTATTATTATTATTATAAATTTAATGAGATGAATTAAATAAATAAAATTGAATGATTTTAATAGAGTCGAGTTAAATGATTTCAATTGAATTGTGAATTGAGTTGATGATTTTAATAAAGTTGAATGAAGTTCTAAATCAGATTTGTTTAAGATTATAAGATTTATATTAAGTTTTTTGTTAGATTTATTTACTGAGGTATTTACTAAGGTATTTTAAACTAATTAAATTATCAAGATCATGATTTATTTAAGTGAGTTTCTTATTTTTTATAATTTATATTAAGTAAATTGTAATATATTATATATATAATAAGGTTTTAATATTAATAAATTAATAATTAATATTATATAATTATATTAGATATTAATACCTTTTAATATATTTATAATATATTTTTAAAAAATTAAATTAATTCAATAAAATTAAGTAAATTAATATTATAAAATATCAAATAATTAAATAGAAATTATATAATATTATAAACTTAATAAAAGTATTTTCAAAAATTATTTTTATTATTAAAATTATATTATACAGAATCAATTATATTTGAAATAAATTAATAATAACTCAAAAGAAAATTTAAAACTTTTTAATACCTTTTTAATATTATCCAAAAGTTCTTTTATATAAATAAAAGTTTCTTTATTTAATATAAAACCTTTGAAATCATTAATTGTTATAATTTATAATTTAGATTATAATAGTATTATTGATATCAGTGATTTAGATACTGATTATTAAAGAGGTGTGATTTAATTATTGTTTTCAAGAGGTTTAATTGTTTATGAATAAAAACTCAGGATTTTTAGAATAAATATTATAATTCATTAATCATAATAAGATAATCATTTAAGAAGATATTATATTTTAAAACAAAGATTTTTAAAGGAAAGCTTTTGAAATAAATATTCTAAGAAAGAAAAAGCTTTAAGATCAATTATATAATATAGAGTTTTAAAAACTTTTGAGAGTTTTTGAATTTTATAAAACTTTCTTTTATTTATTAATATATAATCAGAATAGTTTTATAGTTTAAAAACTTTATATTCAATTTAGTTATTAATTAGTTTATTTATATTTTATTTGATTTAATAAAAAATTCAGTTTCAAATAAATAATCAATGATTAATAACCCTAATCTACAACTATCAATTATACAAACCTCAGACAGCCGCTGCCTTGATCAGATTGTTATATTAATCTCTTTTTGATTAATTAAAGTTTTATCTTCAGAGATTGTAACATTCACTAATAAAATATAATTCAAAAAGTTATAATTTTATAAAATAGGATTTTTTAAATACAAAATATATATTAAAATTCTAAACTTTAATATTTATATAAGAATAACTATCAAGTGTTCTTCACTTGAAGTTTGATTAAATTAATACAAATCTAATAGAAGACTAGTCCTCGTGATTAATTCTCACCCTATGACACTAATAGTATATATATATATAATTTATATTTATTTTTAAAAAATTTTTGTTAAAAGATATATATAAAATAATTTAGTCATTTAATTCGTTAAGATTTAAGATATATTTAAGAATTCTTAGCTCAAATCAAGTCAATTCAATCCAATCCTGGCCAAGCCAAGCCCAAAATGCCACACCCAAACAAAAAATCAAAAATGGTATCTCTTTCATCATGAACATTCCCAAGCCCGCATTATAAGAGTTTAAAGAAATTCGTCAGTGTATGCGCGGCCACCTTTCCATCCCATTCCATCTCCTCCCCTCCATGGAAGCTTTTTTTTATATCAAACATTATTTTTGATTATCCCCAACTCCCATTTTCTAATAGCCCAATGTTCTCATCGTATTCGGTCGTCATATCTTGTTCAGAGATGTGCCTTTTTTGCGATTGTACTCGGACATGCTGGATCGTGGTCCAGCTCCTAATATCCATTCCGGTATGGGTGGTGTTAGGCTACGTTCGCCTTCGATTTCTAGAGATATTTCCATGTCCTCCTCTTCTATTGCTCGTCGGATGCTATCCAGACTGGCGTTATGCATGAGTGGAGGCAGACTTTCACTTCTCAATCGATTTATTGAACGAATGCTGTGAACATCTGATAAGGTAATTGATCCAGTTCCTGGAGCAGCTGTTATCATTGTTTCGGCTGTTGCGGCTGGTGCTGGACTCGGAGAGTCCGATCTAAATAAAGGATGAATGTTTTCTTCATTTGTATTCTCAGGACTCATCGCTCCTGTCCTCGCTCGATAAACAGACTTCCCACTCCTGATACTCCCTGCTGGACTGTAACTTCCATTTCTTGCTGGCCTTGGTGGTTCAAGATCTAATGGGAAACCTGGACTTGGACTTCTACTGCCAGTGGGACTAGCAGGGATTGTTTCAAGAAATCTTGGAGGGCTAGGTGAAGCTGATTCGATAACTTGTCTAGATTGCGCATCTACACCTGAAGTATTCCATGAATCAAAGTCGTCCTCGATCGATACAATCGTTTCGCGCTGAGCCGAATCGATAGAAGGTGCTCGAAAATTGTTACTGCGTTGACTGTTGGAATGGATAAGTCGACTCTTCGAAGTGATTGGGCGTACAACATTAGAAATTGACGACCGAATCGAGCCTATCGATCGCTTTGGATCTGATCCCGAGCGGGATCTGCTACCAATTGACCATTGAGTCTTTTCTATTGAGCTGTTTCTCTCATAATCGTATCCATCGTGCATGCTTTGAGGTTGTGATCGTTGCTGCATTTCTGATGAGGTGTGTCGTTCTGATTCAGTGATATATGGTTGAATCTGTTGATGAAAGTCTTTCCTTTGAATGACCACTAAACAAATGAGAAATATGGCTTGTGAAGCCAACGATATCGCCCATATAATGAATCCGCCCACCGTCATCGATTGCGCTTGGGAGGACAGAATCTTCGTTGGAAGCAAAGACAAATCCTGTCTCATAAAGCTCAATGACAGTGCTGTGGCTATCGCCGATAATATAGTAAATATGGAGGTGAGTCCGGCAAAAAGATATATTCGTAGCCGTCCATTTCCACGGTCTTGAATGTGGTTTTGGTACCTGACCTGTCTGATGACCAGTAGCACAAGTAATGCTTCTGTGACAGCTCCAAGACCAGACGCGACGTAAGATAATACGCTTGCTTTGTTTGGCGTATGATGTTTCGAAATGGTGACTGAAAAGATAATGTTAAAGGTAAGCATGACAGTTTCACTTGCCAATGCTAGAAAGCCTAAACTCAAGGGCAATATCTTCGAGGTCGTCATGATGTCGATTGGTGAACGAGAGAAGCCGTGGCGTTACTGAAGCGATAGCATACGTGGTATGGTGCGGCAACGAAGAATATAAAGCCTCAGAGAGGTAGCAATGAATAGCGGCGTGCGGAACGCGACGTCGAGATAGATGAGATAAACAACTGACAAGAAGACAAAACTCTCGCAAAGATGACTATTCTCAGTACAAACGACGAGAGTGTTTAGGGATTCTGGCACGATGAATGGACGACGAAGGAATCGGATTCAAAATTAAAAGACACCCCTCTATTTCTCCTTCACGTACTGTTCATCCAATCTTTAACCAAGGTTGCACGTACGGCGTATTACCCAAAAGGAGTGTATGGACAGTATGTTGTGTATCCAGACCTTGTCTCAAGCTGGGTTCCGAGGCTACACTAAGTTGTATTTTGGTGGCTTGCTTTCACCTCCTCGTTTCCTCACACCCAATCTTTTGACTTCGCCGATGATCTGATATGATGGAAGGCAAAGATAATCTAGGAAGATAATGTATCGAAAATTCCACGCAGTACGCAGGACGGGATCGTTAATGTATGTAATGTGAAGTTAGTTGAAAAAGAATGTCGGGAAAAGGTTGTGGAAGATGTTGTGTACGATGTATATCTAAACTGTTTGCTAGGAGCTACTGCTTGGTAAGGAGCTAATCCTGCATGGATGAATGTCTGTGTGTGGGAAATATTGCGGTGCAGTAAGCTTGGGAGAATGCGTGAGCATGGATTGGTTGAGCTTCGGCAACTTGCAGGATGATGATATGATATGCAGGTGGGTAGGCAGATCAGTAAATGCAGCAGGCAATGCGGTGCTCTCTGTCGTAGAATTTAATTTGGGATATTTTAGAAGTAGTGTCGCAAGAATGTCTGCAGAGACAGAGGATCAAAACGTGGGATCTATTTTTCGAAATGGCAATCTTTTACACGTGGTTGCACAGGTAATGTTTTATGATTTTCGTCCTCGTCCTCGTCCTCGTAGTCGGTTTGTTTTAGGAAAAAGTAAAAGGAGGGAAGAGACTCAGAGAAAACGGTTTGCGGGATTCGGAATTTGTTGCTTGTTGCTTGTCGCTCGTTGCTCGTTGCGTTGCGTTGCGTTGACGACGGGACGGGATAAAAGGTTGTTGGGTGGAGTTATATCTTCAGAAGAATAATGACCAGGTTAGTGGGAATTGCAAGTCTTATTTCGAATAATGTAAAGATAATTTATTTTTCCAATACCGAGTCTAGTTCCAAGGAACATTACGGATGTGCTGGGATTATGCCGAATAGAGTTTCTTCTCTGCAGCCGATTTGCTGATTTGCTGATTTGCTGATGTGCCAATGTGCTAATGTGCTTCTTTTATTTACTTTTTTGGGGAATTTATCTTGGACGGGGCCGGTAGGGTTGTGCTCGTCTCGTGTTGTTTCGCTCGTAGGGCGAGACGGGGACGTGTGGATTCGAAATGACTGAATGGTACTGGAAGCTGGAGCTGGACTCCTTGGAGGTGCACAACCTTTTTTCTTCTGGAATCGGTGTGGGATGCAGGGTATGTTTGGAACTGGCGAGACGAGGGTCTAGAATGAAGGGGGAAGGGAAAGGATTGTTCGGTGAGGAAAGTTTATAAACTTCTCGAATAATGAAAATGAGTGGACGAGTGAACGAGTGAACGAGTGAATGAAATGATTGATTATTTGATTGTTTGTTTGTTTGAATGGAGCAAAAATTAAAACGGGGCTCTTGACGTCGTCGGATTATTCTCCTCTTTATTAGAATTCTTCGTCTTCCATTTTGGGATTGTTTGCGAAGGATGCTTGAAGTGAATAGATGGGTAATAAATGAATGAATGATATTCTCCACAATATGTTGTGTGAGTTGAGTGCTTGAATGTTTTTGCTTCTGGGTTCTGGGTTTTGAGTTGGTGGTAGTGCCGTTGCTATGCATATGTGTGTAAAGTAAATATTCATCGACCTATTAAAATAGACTTTTCCAAGATATATTAGATCCACGCGACGGGATCGAATGTTGTATAATTCTCAATTCTATGTCAAATGCGGTATTGCTTCCTGGTACGGAAATTTCGGAGGAGAGAAGCAAGAATCAGATCAATGGAAATCGAAGATATGAGAGACTCTTCTCCAGACAATAAAATGATACTAGGATGGAAAAAGCAACGGTGAAGCTTCTCTCTTGTTGTTGTTGGCTCTGCACTCTTTCACGCGTCGCTTGTGGAAATCTAACTAATTCGTCGCGTTTATCTTTAGGGCAGTATATAAGCCGAGGATTGATATGTGTACGTATGTATGATACCAGGACTAGGGTCGCATGTATAGATGCAAAGACGGAAAGGCGATTGGATATCAAAAGCCCTGGATAAAAGAATACAAAAGCATGCTGAAGCATTACCTGGTTGATAGCTGGGTTACATATGGTGACGGCGCTCGTAAACAACGATAGCAATGCAATGTTTTCTGTGGCGCTGCAGGCTATGAAGCAATAATGATGCGGGGAAGGCTATAAATGATATTGATATATATACTTTTTTCGATTTTGGGGAAATTATGTGTGTAGTGGTCGGGCGGCCAATAGGAAGATGAGGAGGGGAAATCCGGAGGATGATGCGTAAGATGTGGATGATGAGATGGTGGGAAGGTAAGAAAGGTAGGGAAGCTGCCTACTTTGATCGATGTTGTGGTGGTGGTGGTGGTGGTGGTGATGATGAGTGAGATATTGATTTTGATATCTCATGATGCTTGAGGTTGAGGATCAATTTCGGTCGAAATGATTGTTTTCGAACCGGAACTTTGGACTTTGAGGATGGTGGAGGGGTAAACCTTTTCTGGGTCTGTACGGCCGGATGTGGATGTGCAATTGTATCGAGTTGATGAATTCCAATCTAGTATCTATCCAGAGCTGATTGATTTCTGAAGTAATGTGGCGGTGACGTTTTTGACATTTTCCAAGACTTTTCTTTCGCAATTTTATTCAATATTATGTATATATGCCGGTCTGAATGTATGTTTGTGTGACGACGATGCATGAAGCATGCGGACAAGAATATCTTTTCCAGGTTAGATGCAATGGAGATCAGGTTAGCCAAAGATGGAGAGAAAAGACGGGAGAGATGATTGTCAAATGCTATGTTTTTATTTCGAATATCATCTGTGTGTTTAAACTTTTTCTCTATTTACAGGTGTTTCTGTCTTTTGATGGGGTCTGTCACCGTCTGTGGGAATGGATACGGTGTCGCAGTGTACTTTAGTGTACTTCAGTGTACTTATTGCAGTGCTTCGGTTTGTCATGATGCGGCTTGATATTTTGGCATGATGATCAATACGTCCATACGTCCATACGTCCATACGTAATGATGGATATCGGTTCGCAAAATAGGAGTATGAAATGAACGCATGTAAGAGGTGCGACGATATAATTTCAGTGTTATATGGCATAATACTTGGTTTAATGGAATTAATGCTAGGTTTATCTTTCGCTTATGGCATATGTTAATATCTTTGAAAGGGGAACTTCTTACCGTGAATAGGTAGGTACCTGGTACGTGGAACCTATTGTGGAACCTATTGTCTAGTATCTAGTGCCTAGATTGTTGGAGATTTGCAAGGAAAGAAAAGATATACTACCTACCTTCTACTAGGTGCACCAGCATGTTCTAGGAAGGTGAGAGCTTACCTATCTACGTACTCAAGCACTCAAATGGTGGGAAGCGTGCAGCGTGCAGCGATCATTGATCATTGATCATTGATCATTGATCTGTGCGTATTATCCCCCATGAGAAAATGAGTGGTAACGTTACCGGGATCCAACACGATTGGTTCAGAGAATCAAGAGAGACTTTTGGATGAGACTTTAGGTCTCGCTCGCTCTATTCCGTATAAGAGCCTTATAACGAAGGATTTCTCGTAAAAGAATTACCAGGTTCGTGCATGTAAGGGTCGTCTTTCCACAGCTCTCTCAAGCATTCGTACCTGCATAAGTTCGGAGTACAAGAAAAGAGACTGGAATAATTGGGGCGAACATCTCTGTTCCCTCGCGGGGCAGGATATATGTTATTGTTAATAAAACCATTGGATATTGTAAAATTATTATGATATGTCTATATATATTACCGACTACCATTTCGAAACTGCAAAAATGCGAAACGACGAGATCGGCTGAACTAAGAACATTGTACGTTTCATAAGGATGGATGAAAGTTTGAAAGAAAAGAAAAGAAGAAAGAGGAGGGGGTGTTCAGATGATTGATTGATTTTGATCGACAGGTCAAAAAAGGCCCCGAGAGTTCTTTACTCTAAACCTTCTAAAACGACGAAAATAAATATCTTCGGATGAAAAAGTTCTGACCTTTTGTAGGTAGGGTCGGTAGGTAACTACTCCAGTATGTCATTGATCCATGGCCATCTAATCAGATTTTCTTCAATGAGTACATAGGTAACATGATGTGTAAATTACCATGTTATAATAGGAAACTCGAGGGTTCATTGGAAGTAAGTACGGGTCAGATCGTCATGGTTCATTCGTTCATTCGTGTAAGCTTAAAGATACAAGTACAGGACATAGAAAATACTGGTACACCTCGCCGTTCAATATGCAGATGAGATGGAAATAAATTAAATCTTACCTACTTATCTACCTTTCCATAGAGTAGGTAGTGTATACACTGTACAGCGGGTACGCAGTATTTCCTTCAGCAAGATCGATCCGTCAATCTTGTAATACCCGTTTCTTTTCCAACATTCTATCAACTACCATTCTATCAACCGTGTCTCCATTTCTCCATCTCTTACGACAGGGAAAACTCTGCCATAACCGATTCACCTGTCTGCGATCAAACCACAAAGGCCCCCTCGAATGTACGGAAGACTTGGCACGGTTCCAATGTTTCTAATTAATATCTCCTCATTGTGCTTCTCCTAATGCTAATCAAAAGTTCTGGATCTATTTGGATCGCATTATTTGACAAGGTCATTCCCTACTTTTCAATTCTAAGCGTTCATCTCTAGCTCTTCATTGAATACCCACCTACTTGGCAGCGGGAAATCTAACTCTGGTTCTCGCATCTGATATCCATCGAGATCGATATATACATGCTGATATTAACATTTTCCTAGATGTCGGATAGAGTTTCTTTTCAATTTCCTCCCTCATCTGATATCTACTCCGTATGATCTCCCATCTCTACATCTGTTACTAACAGCTAACTACCTGCCTAGCTACCGAACATTCCGAACGTTTTTAATATCTATCTAGTACCTATCTGTACGTAGGCAGATTACATGATGTAATCAATCAATAGGTACCTCAAATATTAACCTGGGTAAGTAACAAGTTAAGAGATAGAGTAACATCGGCGACCCTCCCTCCCAATAGAGAACATTACCCGAGCATCAACAATCCAGCCCTGAACCCCATGGAAAAAAAAAATAGGAATATGTACTGTACTCTATACCAGCGCTGCATATGCACTCCGTAAAATCCCATCCTGTCTGAACTTACCACCTATGTGCATAGCGTTAGATTTCCGTCTTTTAAATATATACAGTACAGACAAGTAATAAGATACAGACACAGCAAAACGCAAACTTGCTATGGGTCCCGGGGCAATTAACCCCATGCCAACCTTACCAGATACCTGGTCACCTGGTCTAGAGATTACAAAGAATACATATCTCGCATTATTCATTACTCCGACTCGTTACCCTTGACTCATTACTCGTACTCGCACGCTGATTCCTGAGTAGCTATTCTACATCCACATTCGAATCCATACCTACACAGAGTACAGTATACACATCTTACGGTGTATATTGCGATCCATAGGGAGAGCACCTCATATGGATCGTAAATCGGTCCTTACTCGTACCTACATACCTACCTATACCTTCAGCAGAAGTAATCCCCAAGTCCTAAATCCTCGCTCGGGGGTACACATACTTGGCTTTGAAATTCGGAAATGATATCCTGAGCGCTTGACTCTTCTGTAGATAGGTACCGATGCTTAGTTCTATATATAGTAGAGTAGGTATTTAGATTTTTCATCGAGGAGTGGTAGTGAATTCTGTTTGTTGAGGTTAAGGGATTACGCACCGACTACCTATCTATCTATGAAACATGAAACAATGGCGATACTGATGAACAACGACGGACAACGATTATTAGGTT